AAAGGACAGTGCCAAAGTAAGTAATCAGTAATTATGATTATTTTATTATTTCTAAACGTTTGTATGGTGAGATCAGCGGAGGGCCCTAAACCTGTTTTGTGTGCACTGACAGAAAAATAAGGATGAAAGGGAAAATGGTGCGATGGCAGCAGCAATGTCCCCTAGAGTGCGCAACCCCATGCCCTCTTGTGGCGATGTTTCTGTTACCTCGGGTCAGCTGGATATGATGGCTGCTAATCAAAGCCTCGGACCGAAGAGTCAAGCTAGCTCAACATCAAAACACAGGTGTTAATGAAGGTTCAAAGTAACGATGAGTTATGCTATCATAAACAAATGTGGTTATAGTTCCTTTCTCTACAGGGGTCAGATAAGCATAGACTACGAACGGGAATTTCCCTGTATAGAGATCGGGCCGCGACTTGTGCGGAGATGCAGGGAGGAAAGCCACACCTCACAGCGATTGCAGGTCAGAGACAGCTGCCTTTTCCACTCATTAGAAATTATTTACATAATATCTGTCAGTAGAGGATCTGCTTTGATAACACGCACAAAAAAACCCTTGCTTTCTTAAATTAATATATTAATATATACCTGACACTCAGTCATTTCTTGTTCTTTCAGAATGTAAACAACAAAGAATACTGGGAGAATCTGGCCCAACTGTCCGATCCAAGCAGACAAACGAGAGAGATATTAGATTACAGCATAATTATATCTCAAATCAAATCAAAGATCCAGGCATTTAAAGCTCAGGTAATGTTTCAGTATTTCACTCGGCGTGAATTTTTTCTTCTTCAAAACAGTTTTGCATCTACTCCTTTTTTTTTCTTTGTTTGGGCAGCTAAAAGGGGGCGTGGTAAAAGAAGTTCAGCAGATTCAGCAACCAATGAGGGTCCTACATAATCTGCTAGTGATGGCCAAGGTTGAGAAGTTGAACGACGTCGGCCGTGAACTTGGGCTACCCCGTGTCCTCTTTGGCCTGATCCAGGATACTGTAGAAAGTTCAGATTTCATTAAGGTTGCTACTCTGGATTGAAAAAGTGTTTCACAATGAACTGATCCTGCAACAATGTTTCTCACTTCTACTTTGGTACTTTGCCACCTGTTCAGCACCAGCAGAGTATCCCCGTCCTTCAAGAAATGATCACAGTGGTCCTGATCTACTGGGAGAAGAACTGTGCCTGGGTGGAACAAGAACAAAGGTTTGATGAGTCTTTTTTTCCCTCGCTGAAACTGACTTTGTTCATTTGTGAAATACTCAGTGCATACACACGTGATACCAACTACAGCAGCTCACCTCTGCATCTGCTTCTCATGCTTTAGCCTGGAAGAGTTCACCAAGTCCTTCAAAACAATTCTTAGTCAACCAAATCTCAGTCGTCTGGTCGTGAGTACCCACTGACATATTTCAACAGCATCAACCATGTTCAGCATGGTTTACATATAATATTCTGTGTCTGTACCTTTTTGATATGCATTGAGCTGATCTGTTGTGTGAAACGCTCGATTATCTGTCTTTTAGCCTCTGGCTGCTTGTGTTTTGTCTCTCTTCACACAACACAATGTTGATGTCAAAGTTGATGTGGAGCATCTAACATACTTGCTGAAAACTCTGGTCTTGGACCCATGTGAGGTACTGAGCTCGTGTAAACCTGGCAGTAATATGAAAGCTTGAAGGGATCTGAAAATGTGTGAACCATTTATTTTTCTACATTATCAGCCCCACATTTCTCCACCCTCCGGTTGGGGACTCTGTGATGGCCTGCTGTCTTTGTTCCTAGATGCACTTAATGAGGTCAGACTGCAGATGAAATATGGTTAAACATGTATTAGTACAGATATGAGCAATATATCTGTACTAAATGTCTGTGCTTTCTTGTTTAAACAGCATGAGAATGGCCCTTTGCCCTCGGGTTTAAATGAAGTTTTCTTTCTGAATCTGTGGAAAAAGATCGGTGCTTCCCTAAGAAGTGCAACATCAGACTCTGACTTCTGTTCAGCAGATGGTAATCATACTCATCCTGTGAAACCCACGATGTCTGAAAACACTTCTAAAGAAAAAGCAAACTTTACTTCTTTGTGTGTGTCTGTTACAGGACTGTATTTCTTGCTCTCTGCTTTGCTGTTTGTCTTCACCAAAGATCCACATTTGTGCATTCCTCTGTTTTGTGATATTGGATCAGAATGTGTGTACGCTCTTGGCCGCCTGCTGGGCACCGAGTGGTTAGTGTTGAGATGTCTTAATTAAACTAAATAATTTGTATTACAAGTCAGCTACAATGCCTGGAGCTAAAAATAGCATCTTTTATACCCTACAGTCTTCATTTGTTTGCCAAGGGCAATCCTGGGAGGCACAGGGTGGATCCGAGTCACAACACTTTATCCACACTGAGCTGCCACTTGTTATGTTTTCCATTTGCCTTGGACCTGCCTCCACACACCATGTCCCCAGTTCTCCAGTTGTACGACAGCTGTGGTATTGTTACAAGCCTCCTGCAGGTTAGGGCCTTATTTTGCTCCAATAAAGACCTCGCCGACAAAGATAATTCTCTGATGCAACACAGGATAACTCTTGCACTAGTTTTGTTTCTGGCATGCAGTACTGTACACCTGGATGTGTCTGTACTTTTTTAAGAGCACTGTGTTGTTGTTTGTTGTTGGCTGTTTGATGTATGACGAGTTGTCTGTGTGATTTTGTGATTTTTTTTTTTTTTGTGCTTTGGCAGGTAATTCAAACCCTTCCTCTTCAACTACTGGAGCTGCCTCTCTCCCTTCTGAGCCGCTTGCTCCTGTGTGATTCCCCCCGCTCAATTGACCACCTCACAAAAGCAGCTTCTTGCTTTTTCTTGCCATCCTGGGACGATCAGCTCCCTGCCTCCAGCCGTCAGAGTCCTCCAACCAGAACTGCCAGCTCTCTGCTCCCTGAACTCCTGCAGCTGGAAATTCTGTGGGAAGCTGCTGTGGAGCTCCTCACTCTATTGTCTGGGATAGCCCGTTGTCCCTCCTGTCCCTTTCAGCTTTATGTAGAAACCTCAGTGCTGCAGCATGCACTAGCTCACTCGTATGAGCAGATCAGGGCTGCCACGTGTAGATTTTTAGGAAATTTGGATCCATTCAGGCCTCTCACACAACACACTATAAAACCTGACATTTTCAAAGCCATGATAAACTGTCTTAATGATTCCTGCATGCCTGTCCGGCAGGTTGCTTGCAGGGCGGTTGGGAACTGGTTGGGCTATATTGTAGCTGGGCTGCATATGGATAGACCCAGTGAGAAGGGGATACATAGAGAGAACTGGTGCATAGAAAAGCAACAAAATAAACAGACGTACTCAGATATTGAGGCAGCAAGTGATTTGGAAACATTAAGAGAGCAGAGAATGGAGGAGGAAGAAAGAAGGTGGACACATGAAGCCAGGAGGACAGTGGCCATGCTGGTAACTCTAATCTGTGATCCTGATGCCCTCACACGTCGTTACTGCTGCGCCGCCCTGGGAAACCTGCTAAATGTTGATGGAGCCATATCCTTGTTGCTGGAGGAAAATGTGCCCGGCTTACTTCTAAGAACTGCATGCACAGATTACCACAGTGCAGTGAGAGAAGCTGCCATAGGATCTTTATACCTGTACAGCCAGCAGGATGCCATGCGTCAGGTAACGAGCAGGTCACAGCATCGCACATGCTCACATTACAATAAAACAATCTCTGTTTTGGAGAATTTGGTGCTTTTGAAATAGTTAATTTTTACTTTTTAATTAGAAAAGCAGAAAACAGTTCACACCTCCTGGTATTGAACATAAAGCTGTGCTCTTATGCCCAGAGCTTGTTCTGTCCTTTAGATAAATTTTGTTCACTGTTTAATCTTTCACAAGTCAGTAAGACACTTTGAAACACACATTTATTGATTTATTTAGATTATTGCTCTCTTTTTTTGCATTCATTCAAAGGTCCTGATGTCTCTTAATGCCAGTAAGAAGCTTGTTCAGGCTTCAGACCATGCTCCTCCACAGTGTGACTATCAGCGGCTCATTGGACAGCTGACTGCACCAGAAAAGTCAGCAGCTTAAAAACCTGCTCCCTGTTCAACTTTACAGCAACATGTTTGTCTGAAGCCATGTGTTAGTGAACGACCGAGTCCCCGTTTATAAATCAAAGTAAAACTGTTTTACTGTTTAACGTCTCAGTTTGTGACAGCAAGCTGTTCTAATTTCATGAGAAAAAGGAAACGATGTAACTTTTTAAAAATCAAGGTAGGTTTTCTTTTTCATCAATAAAACTGTCATAACAATAATTCAGTCTGTATAAAAGTGGCGAATGAGGAGTTTCATGCATGTCTGAGTTATGAGTATTTCTGCTGGCACCGCAGCGTGTTGTCGATTTTTGGAAAGCGTTTATTTAGGTGTAGCGAATATTATTGATGGATTTTAAAGGCGACATTTTTCCATATGCAGATCAACATGTGAATTTAGAGGCATTCGCATTTCAGAGCCCTTCGAGGTCTTCTAGAAGTCTGTGAATTTGGGCTAATTAAAGTAGAAAACAACGAAGCCGAATTTCCGAGGACTGGACGTCGAAAGCGTTTTTACGTTATGTTAAATGTTGTATCGACTAAACCAGAAGAGATCGATACGCATGAAAGTTTTCTGTCCTCTATGGAGAACCGTCTGTCAGCTGTCTGCTCAGCGGGGCAGGGTGAGAAAAGAAGCGCTTGTCAGCGTCTGTCGGGCCCTGACCGGGCTTTACTTTGATTTCCCTTAAAAAATAAAAATAAAACGAAAACCCCGCGGATTTATTAAATCCAAAAACCAAGGACTTATTTTCACGCTCAGGCCGCAGATTGTACTTCGGATAACGCAGACAAAAAATAAAAATAAATCCCAGTAAAAGCACCAAAAAGAAAAAGCACAGCGGGCCAAGTTGATGATACACTTTATTTTTTTTAAAAGCAAAAAGATTGACATCAGACGAAGTTAATTTGCATCTATGATAAAATTACGTTAAAAACACAACGCGCTAAATGTGCTGTTAGTACACACTTTTGGTTTAACCATCGGGATTGAAAGTGCACCGCAGGGGGCTAAAAAAAAAAAAAAGAAGCACCAATTAAACCCCATAAATAATTACGATAGTTTCGCTGTTATATTCAAGATTGTCTTAAAATAAATATGCATAGAAAAAAAACTATCCTTGGTATAAGCATGGAGCAAATGACAGTAACAATGATTATTTGCTTATATGAAAAAAAAAGAATTGAGACCTCTTACACCAAAGCTAAAGCTGCAAAAGCTTTAAGAAACAACAAAATTAGGATTTTTTCCCCCAGTAATTTTATAGAAAGAAAAGGTTAACACACTCCACTCCCTGAACATACAAAAGTTGTTACAAATTAGTGCAGATCAGCCAGAGGCCTATAAAACTTATTGCTTTAACAAGCAGTTTAGAGAGAGAATTATTTCTGAAACCCTAAATGTTCTATTCCAGAAAGTACATTTATGCAAAGGCATGCAGAGGAAGGCTGTTAGAATGATACTAGTTACAATATTTGTACACATTGGGAAATAAAGAAGAAAAAAAAAAACAGTTTTATATGAGGAAAACCTGCAAGCTTCAAGTCTGTAATCTCCTCCCATGATTATCTACTGATGTTTGTAGAACTGGCGGATTAACATGTATCCTGAGCTGCAAAACAGATTGTACATTTTGCAAAATGCGAGGGAAGAATATCTTACTGCCACCACATGATAAAATGTTACACATTTAAAAATAATATGAAAAAAAAAAGTTTTGGTCACAGAATGCATAATGCAGACATTATTTGAAGCCATTGCTAAAAGAAAGATAGCAAAGGTTATATTTGTTACATTTAAAGGGATGAAAATTAAACAAATGTAAATACAGAAGACAAAGTAATGTTTCCAACAAAGCTGGCTAAAATACTCTAAACATACAAATAAAATAATTCTGTTATTGACTGAAATAAACTAGAAGCAAATCAAATGTTTTACAGAAAAACAAACAACAAAATACACAATAAAGTTTCACGACTCCTTTGTACGTTAGCCGCTCTTTCTGCAATTGTAAAAGTCAAAGGATATTCAAGGTCAGTTCTAATAATTTTAGTATTAATGCCAATTACAGTTTTTGCTGTTGCATAAACACAGTTGATTTGAAATATTTGTCCACACTGAAATGTTAGCATTTCACCACCAACTAGTGATCCAGCGACTGAGCATGAAAATAATTAAAAAAGAAAGAAAAAAACCCCTCAAACAAACATGAGTTTCTATTGCTGACATCAATTTTAACGTAAGGCTATTACAAATATAAAACCTGCATAATGAGTTACATTACTTCTGAAATTACCTTATTTCAATAGTAGATTCACGAAGTGCGAGAGCTATTGAAAATGATTGTCATCTTAAAGCATTGCTATGCCACAGTGCCGGCTCAAGTGATTCGAGTACGAAAGCGATGGAAGAATTGGATAGTGTTGATTTAAAATGTAAAAAATATTTCATATTAGCAAAGCATGCTTTTAACCCCTCGCTACATAAAAAAAAAAGGAAAAAAATTAACATTTGATTCAGGACAAACTTAAAGACAGAAAGAGCTGCTGATTCTCCCTGTTACGCTCTCTCTAAGTGTACTCGCAGAAGCTTGGTGTTACGCTGTTGTGTCCTGCTTAAGCCTTTGGCTACGGGCCTTGTAAACTTCAATCAGCAGGTCTTTAACGTACTGGATTTCACGTTCTACGGACTCTGCTTTGTCCCGGAGCTCCCGGTTCCTCCCTTCAAGGCAGTGCAGTTGTTCCTCCAAAGAATCGAGCTCCGCCCTTTTTCGCTGGCGATACCTGCATCGACCAAAAACGAAGACTCTGTGAAGATGTAAACTCGTGAAATTTTGATAACATTGACATTTCATCGGGAAGAATCTCACCTGTGAGCGGCAGTTTTGTTCTGATCTCTTTTCTTCTGTTTGCGTTCCCCGCCTTCGCCTGGAATGATGTCCACTTCGTATTTCATTGCACAGTGGTCTTCCTTCAGCCGACATGCTTGTCTGTGCCCCGAAGATTCCAGGTTCAAACTATCCCTAGCCATTAAAAGACACTCTGGGCCCTGATCCTCAAGGAAATTACAGTGTAGATCATGCTGAGCTATCTGTAGACTCTCTGTTTTCACCTGCTCATTGATGTTGCCCAAGAAGCTATGGTAGGCCTCAGACTGTGCTGTTGTTGGAAGATAACAACCTTCGCTGCTCTCGGCTTTCCAAGAAACGGTGGCTTTTGTCACCTCCACACTAGTTTTGATACTGTTTAGCACATCACTGTTACCAGCACCTCCGCTGACTTCCCTCATGCTATACATCAACAGATCCTCTTTCTTATGGGGGACCTCCAGTGATCCACCAAAGCCAAATCCACCACCAACAATCTTCCCACCACCTATCACATCTTGAGTGAAACAGCAATTTTTCTCTTCTTTTGGTATAACAGCACATCGTCTGAGCTCAACCGCACTACCCAAGCAGTAGCTTTTCCCTACCACCTGGTCGTCCTCTACACAGCCATAATTACCTGTAAGGGTCACAGCTGAGTTACCTGAGTTACTTCCTTTGGAACTCAACAAACTGCTGTCATAGCCTTCGCTGAACCTCGAACCATCAGGAACTCTTTTCCTACCACACCCACTGGGTCGACTGCAGCTATATGGGGTGTGTCTTGGAATTTTGGAGCGCCCAATGGGCCCGCCACAGATGCTGAGCAGGTCCAGTTCTCCGGTTGCCAAGGTAACAAGAAGTGGGCTGGATTCCGATTGGTTGGATGTAGCGTATGATGCGTATGGCAGCTGAGTGAATGGCGGAGGACCCGCAGGCAGTGGACCCCTGTCGCATTTTCCCAGCCTCGGCCCTTTCTCGGGCAGTGGCTCAGACAGGAAGTAGTCCTCTAGTTGGGCGAGTTCCTCTTGCAGCAGAGAGGTCATGACCTCCAAGTCAGAGGGCACCTGGATATCATTCTGAAGGGGTGAAGGGGGAAGGGAGGCATTAGTAGAGGAGGGAGGGGAAGGAGGGTTTGGGAGGTACGAGGAGAAATCCACTTCTTCAGTCATCCAGTCAGTGTTACCATCACCTATTGAGGAGGGGGGGAAAAAATGCATCGGTTACAAGATGTTTGTCGGAAGGAAATAATGCTGCTAAAAAAAATAAAATAAAAAAATAACGTTCATGCAAAAAAAAAAAAAAAATCCATCCATGAAGCAGTTTCCCAAAATAACAATCAGATTTATAATAATAATAATAAAGGCAAATCAGATTGGGGTTTTTTTGCCAATAAAGTTGCAGCGTTTTAATATAACAGACGTAGCTAGTTTATTACTTACTGCTCAAGAAGGACGAATGTGCTGCAGTGCCGAGCCCACCTGAAATGGGGAAAAATATAAAAAAGCGTACACGCTGCAACTCACCAATTAAGTGCTGACTCTCCTCTGACACCTCCCCCCTGCACCCCTGTGATTGGCTGTGGTTAGCCTGTGGGTGAGAGAGAGCGAGGGGGTCTGCCGGGCAGACACGAAGAGTCTTCCAAACAGGCGCTGATGTTGCCATCATTTTGTCTGTTGGTGCTTTGATTCAGTCCAAGTCCAAGCATATGCTGAGAGCAAGCAGGGTCTGAGAGATGGGCCACAGTGAGCAGGTCTGGGTGAGCATAATGAAACCTAGAGAGTAAGCAGAAAGAAAAAAAGGGGGATCAGATATGTCTGAGAAAGATACGGCGTACTCAGTCGACTAATGGGGATCATCAGATGGGAGTCTGTCTGTGCTGCACTCTGCAAGTTTCTCTGCATGGTTTTAATGAGAGGCAACAAAGAAAAAATCACTTTCTGGTCCTCACTTAACTCATTTTCACACAAATACACTTTTTCATCTTTTAAACAAAAAGGCTTTACAGTAAATACCAAATACTGAAAAGCAGAAAAGTACATTATTCCCAAAACCAAGCCTCAGATGTGACACAGTGGGTGATAGAAAAGTGGGAGCAGTGTCCTGTGGGCTTTAATCTGGCTCAAAGCAAAATTAACCTGACGTCCTCAAAACACGTGGGACCCAGTGACGCTGTCATGGGCCCAACTGTTGACAAGAAGCACCACAAGAGCTACCTCTCCTCTCTGTAGGTGAGCTGCCCTGCTGGTCAAAGAGGATTAATGCTGATGAGCTGCTTCCAATCGCATGTTCCTTTTAAAATTAATTACCAATTCTTTTTTTAATCACTTAAACAGATTGGACTCGATTACAGCAATGAGAGCTAAATTAAACATTGAAAGATTAAACGCTGGAAGTGACAGACGTGATGTATCTCCAGTTAGTGCACAGACTGAAGGCAATACATTTAGAGTAGAGGAAAAATCAATAAAAATCAAACTAAAACTGACCACAAAGCAACCACAATCAGTCAAACTCCATGAGTGACTGTAGTTTAAAAAAAATAAAAAAAAAAAAAAAAAAAAGATGTTTGAATTTGTCAAAAAGGTTCATTTAAAGCGACGAAACCAAACAAGATGTAGCCACTTCACACCAATATGATAACAACAACAACAGCAACAACAAAACAGCTCTATATACAGCCAGTAGAGAGACTTTCACTTACTCCATTCTTGCAGAAAAAATTGTAGAGCACTTGGGGGTGCGTTGCTAAAGCAAAGCACGACGACTTTTCGGGTCCAACAACTTAGCAAAAGATTAAAGAGCCATATTTCAGCTCGGAATATCCTAGACAAGGCAAACAGAGAGAGGTGCTGCTTTGTTGTGGTCGACCTGTAAACTGAGGAGCCGCTTAATTGTGACAAAGCATCACTTCATTCACACCTAGCAACCGACTGCGTCATCGGGGTAAACCAGGCTCCTCCGCGCGTGCAGATTCCTCCGCCCCTCCCTCCGCGGCTCACCCAAGGACGTCCCACACTCTCGCTGCCCACACTTTTATAAAAGTATTGAGCTACTTTTTTGTTGTTGTTTCTGTAAAAGTAACACAGCTGCTCATTCAGGTGAGTAATACTATCATTTATAGTAATAAATATATAGATAATAAATATACTAATAAAAAAGAAAATACTAAATTCAAACTGTGCAATTCAAGATACAAGTGACAACTGGTTTAAAAAGGGAATCTGAAAAGTAGCCTTTTAGCTAGACATTGTGCTAATTTTTAAGCTCTAAAGGGTATAACCTCGTATTTAAATTAAATAACGTACTGAGAGGATTTGGTTTACGCGAACGCGATCTTTCGAGAAAACTACAGCTCAGACACTGTACTTTGTAATAAGGCGTGCCGCTGTTTTGTTTAAAGCGCTATATGGCTCATAACACACTTTGTTGTTTAGAAGAAGTCTGTTGCATCTCCGTTGCATCAGTGGTCCACGAACAGTACCATTGGCTGCACGGGCTCAGACTGTCGTTCTGTAATTGGCTCAAAACGGCTACTTCTGAAATATGATTGGTCGGTGGTAGGCAAGGCAAAGCACCACCGTGTTGTCATCTTTCTCTCTCCCTCTGTCTGCAGTGCAGACTGTGCACATGTTTCATGTCAACAAACCGGGCGTGGAGTTCGGTGCTGCAGTTTTGAAAGCAGAGAATATCGTTGACACTTTGTGATACAGTTTAAACAAACTTAGACACTGATGCCGATACAGCATTCAGCTTGTAATGACTGAATCTGGCCGATTATGTCGCGATAACTAATGAACATGCAGCATATATCATTTATTACATAATTTAAATTAGAAAGTACTTAGAATTACATAATTGCTAATCACCGTTGTGGATGTAATGTCTCTGTTTTATTCGTTTATTTTAATTTAGCTTGCAACTACTCTATTGTGATTATGTCTCATTTCACTTTTATTTTGTTGACTTGTTCATCTGTCTACCCAAAGCTTCCCAGGTGCAAAATTACACTAAGTCAGTGAATAATGGAAGATAAATTATTCATCCCTTGTGGTTGGCTGTCAGCCTAATACACTTTGCGAATCCTTATTTTTGTGACTAATTTGGTGAGACACAGCTGGTGGAACTAAATGAAGTTACTGGTAATGACTGTCAATTACATTTATGTTAGGAATAAAGCTTTGTTTTCCTCCTTTCAGCAAATCCCGAAGCTGAGCAAGTGTGCTGTTCTCCTGTTGCTATAGTAATAGCGGACACTGCCCCCTATTTTAGACTTGTTGTCTGGTTGCTGTTGCCATGGGATTTGCATCTCTCTCTTTTTCCCTTTCTCTCTCTCTCTCCCCCTACTGTTTTCCTTTTACCTCACCTTTGTTTTGGCACTCCTAACTACCCAGCCATTCTCCATCCTATTTGCTGAGTTGCATTTCTGTTACTCTATCATTTTGCCAAAACCAACAGGTTTATTTCCAGCTTTGCTGAATTAATAAATTGATTTGGCCTCTAATAGATTTGTCCACAGAGAAGCATGTCAGTGCATTGAGTGAACATCTGAAAGTCGAATCGATCGCACAGAATCACATTATCCAGGATGGCTCCAGGGGAAGTTGTTTTCACACCAAGTGAAACATGTTCTTTGAAAAAGACCAGATGAAATTGAATTTGAGTGAAATGTCCCAAGTCTAATATACGCTGTCCGTCTGTGTCGATCTGGATGGCCCTGTTACAGCGGCGCTATTCAGCAAAACGCCCACCATGTGGTTGTTACCATAGGAGTGGAGCTCTGAGAGATTTGTAGAAAGGCAGCCTGATGCAATCGAGATAAATGTGGTCGTAATGGAGACCAGATTGAGATACTAGTAGCTGGTGAAGTTGGCAGGTCTCCCGGGAAAATCGCTGACTGCTCTCTCTGTCTGTATTAATTGGTCCACTGAGGGATTCCTGTTTGCGCATCATGAGAGAAATCTAAGGTGCTCCTTATGACAGCATGGCTGGATTTCCCTGCAGTCTCCACTATTAAGTACAGTTTCCTCTGTCACTATTTAGGAAGACATGTAAAATGTGTTATTTGCGCAGCAAAACACCTTCATGTCTCCCCCTCCTTCCTCTGGAAAATCTTAACAAGCTCAGTATCCATTTGCAAAAACTGGAATAGATCAACTTTCCGACTTGTTAAAACAACACAGGAAAACGAGCCAAAGTAAACAACTCTGGATCAAACTAGACTTCAGATACTCTTGAAATATTTATTGTCGTTTTTTCTATAGCGGGAGTTGGAAGTCCATCACTCGATACCCAAATTCATTGTCTGAATATTGTGGATGAGCAGAGAAGTCAGAAAAGTCAATACTGCATGCCAAGTGCATGTATGGCACGTTAGTAAGGGTTACACCATCATTTCATCATCATCTCTCTCAGAATTTATTGTCCTCAACTTTTGCCCCTCTTTGAACATACGAAGAAAACATGGAATTCAGTTACGACTTGTGAATGGAAGCCTCTCAGAGGGGATTTGTGGACGTTTCTGTGTGTGTTCAGCCTGCTGATCACTTGAATTTGTTTTTCGGTTTGCCGTGAAAACATGTAATCAAGTCTCAGGAAAGTGACAAGCATAATATCATTTTTCCTTCACGGATGTTTAAAGCAACTTCATTTGCATTCAGCTGTGACAGATAGGAGCCAGTCAGTCATAGGGTTCTGTTTATTTGCTATTCCTCAAGGACTTTGTGGTATATTAGAGGTGTTTGATGTAAAGAACTCACTACAGCATCTGTTTCGTCTTCCTGTGGGATCTCACAGCTTTTAGTAGATCACTCATACCTAACTCCAACTCCTGAAAGCATGTTGAATGAAGCCGTGCGTGGCATACAGTGTAAGGTCTGTAAAAGAAAACAGTGCTACAATAACAGCAGGACAACAAAGAAAGTAAACGAATTGTTGCATATCACAGCTTTTTATTCATACTTATTGTCCGTGCATCACTTGTGTTCTCCAGAATTTCAGCTCTTTAAGCAAATGGGTCCCAAGTGGTTCCTCTGTGTCATTTACAGCACTCAGGCTGTGTGATGCTGCGCTGCAGAAACATTTAAAACCCCTGAGGCTCAGCGTCTGCCACCTATGAGTTTTACACAGCCGATAACCATCCAGGCCATATGCTTCGTGCTCATGAAAAAACTCAAACTGTTCACTCATCAGAGCTTAAGTTAACTCATGCTGAACTTTGAATTCTAATTGTTAGTTTGGTAAGGCATGTTAACACTAGTTTACAATGTTATCTTCCATTGTTTGACTGTACATTTCAGTCATGGGGTCTCTGCTTTCTGCAAAGTCACTTTATTTAACAGTATATTTGCAAGCAAACAGTCCTTCACTTTGATGTGGAGCATAAGACAAAGTGTTAAGTTAGAGCAACATAAAGACAAAAGAAATGCATCCACTCACTGACCACTTTATTACATGCACTTTACTGGTGCAGGGTTGGAACCCCCATTTTTTAAAATTCTTTGTGGCATAGATTCAACAAGGTGCTGCAAACATATTGACATGACAGCATCACACAGTTGAGCAGTTTTAAGGCTGCACAACCACGATGTTATTCTTCACGTCCCAAAGGCGCTCTACTGAACTGAGATCTGGTGGCTGTGAAGGCCATTTGCGTACAGTGAACTCATTTTCATGTCCAAGAAACCAGTTTGAGGTTATTTGAGATTTTTCATGGTCTTTTTTCTGATGGATGCTTTGAATGGGAAGCATCCATCAGAAGATGCGTATGCTGTGGTCCCAAAAGAATGGCTATGGTCAGCAGCAATACTCTAGTAAGCTGTCGAGTTTAACTCACGCTTACTTGGTAATAAGTTGTCCAAAGTGTGCTTTTACCTCATTACACCACTAGAGGCAGCCTAAACTGTTGAAACAGGACATAATGGATCCATGCTAACACATTGTCTACACCAGATTGTGACCCTACTCTCTAAATGTGGCAGAAGAAATTACGACTCCTCAGAACAGGCAACACATTTCCAATCTGCTGTTGTCTGATTTTGTCAAAATCCAAATTGTAGCTTCAGTTTACCACGTTCAAAGTCACCTAAATCACCTTTTTTCCTCATTGTGATAGTCAGCTGGAACTTCAGCAGGTCATCTTGGTCATGTCAACATGCCTAAATGCATTGAGTTGCATGTAATTGGCTGGTTAAATATGTGGGTTAACATTTAGTTGAGCAAATGAACCTTTAAAGAAAAACAAGTGACCAGCAAGTTTAATTCTGCATCTAAAAATTGGAGCAGCAGAATATTTAATTTATGTCGTGTTCCAGGTATGTGCTGATATTTTCCTGTTGATGAAGAGTGATGTAATAGCTTGACTTTCTAAAAAAAAAAAATTTTTCATACCTGCAATAGCACTAAAGAGCCTGTTTTAAGGTAGTGAAAATACTACTAGAGGTGCAGAACATTTCAAATTAAATTGAATTATTCTTGAAACACCGCTACATTGTATCCAACTTAAACCTGTCAACTGACCTTAATACAGGAAGTCATGTCACGCACAGTTTAACTTATTCAGTTTTTCTTACTCACTGCTTAATTGTCATTTTTATCAGTAATATTTCTAAACATTGTTAAAAGTGGTTAAGATGCTGATATTTTTTGGCATAATTTAACCGTAACTGTTACAACATGACCAGTTTTCATGGTTTCTTCATTCTGTTTTTACAGTTTCTTCAGTTTTTTCTATTTTTTTCTGCTTTTCTTCATATGATTCTTTCACATCATTATATATCACTTCCTTCTCTCTTTTTTTATTTTTTTTATCTCATACATGTCTTTATTCCATCGTCACTTCTCTTTATGCATGTCACCATTTCTCAGAACCTAAACTGTATATCGGTCCATATTTTCTCCAGGTGTTCCTTCTCCTCCTCTGTTTCAGTGTTTTTGTCTTTTGCTTTGTTATAAAATACTCACAGTTCTGTATTTTTCCTCTCGGAGTCTTGGAGAATACTCTGCATTTCTCTCTGTGTTTCTTCCTGTTGTTCCCTCTCTTTCTGTTTTCTGCATTTCAGTGTTACTTTGTAGTGCTTCATCAAACATAACTTGCAACCCTTCTTCTTTTTTTCCCCATGTCTTGGAGCTTACACTGCGGTATTCGGTGTATTTCCTCCTGTTGTTCCTTCTCTTTGTGCATTTCTGTATTCTTTGCAGTGCATTTTTTCAAGCTCCCTCTCTCACCCACTCCCTTTTTACTGTCTGAATGTGTCGATTCACTTTTCCCGTTGAGCTTGGCTGGCACACCTGCTTTCAATCAGCAGTTACCTGTGCATAAAAGAACGCGCTCTTCATCAACTCATCACCAGCTTGTTACAGCATTCAGTACAATAGCTAGTCTAGCTCTAGGAAATCTTCCTTGTTGACTATTTTCTCCATTTGCTTTGGATCCCCTCTGGTATTCTCGTCTGCATTCCCTTGTTCAAGGGAACAAACAGTCTCTGTGAAAAGAAAACCTGTCTGCAAGAAAACTCACTTGTGGACACTCGCCTACCTGCCCACTCAAACCTCTTATGTAATAAAACTAGTGAGGCTGGTACCTCTCTCAATGCCTGCTTATGGGTCCAAAAACTTTACCAGTTATGACAATTATGATAAACGGAACCAAAATCTATGTGTCCATTATGGTGGGAGACGTATAATGTCTGTTAAATAGGGAAATTCTGATTGAAAGTTGTGGCCACTGTTTTAAAGGAGGGAATGTGGATGGGACTAGATGACCTTCAGCAAATATTTCCTTTAGGGCCTCTGTGGTGTCTCCGAAGTGTAGACACATGACTCATCAGACTAGGCAAGTTTTCTTTGTTTTTTTTAAACTTCTGTTGTCCAATTTTAATGAGCCTGTGTGAACTATAGCTTCACTTTCCAGTTCTTAGCTGACAGAAGTGGCACATAGCGTGGTCTTCTGCTGCTAAAACCCATCTGCCTAATTAGTGGTTATTTAAGATACCGTTGCCTAGGGCTGTTCGATATAACGATATATATCAGATGACGATATAAAAACGTCTATCGTTTCATTTTACGCTATCGTTTGTTTCGTGGTGTCGCAAAATAAACTGTTTACGGCAATATTTTTTCATCGTTTTGATGGACACTGTAGTGGCTATATTAATTT